TATCCGAGAACCGTCATTTTAACAAGGGGAAATCACAGAAACTTCATTATTCTGCTAAGTATCAGAGAGAAAAGAGAAAGAACAACCAAAAGAGATTTCATCCGAGAGTTTACATTCTCACCGAGAGATATCCGAGAGTTCATCGAATCCGACCGTGAGATAGCCGGGTGATTCTGTCTATCGCCGAGGAACTTCGACTGCGGAATCAGGGAATTCTTCTGGAAACCGTCGGCTATCTTCTTGAATCTGCAACAGCTGAGAAACAAAGGTGAGTGCGTGACCGTGGGCTATAGTTTAGACTCGTGATCTAGCATAGATTCGATTGTTTACTGATTGCTTGAACTGTTCTATGGTACCTTTACTGTTATATTCTGTTTCTCTGCTTAATAGTGAAGGCCCGAGGCCAAGTTAGGCTTTATTGCCGATGAGGTCCGATGACCATAGAAGGCCTGAGGCCAAAAGTGAGGCCCGAGGCCATATGAGGGCCGTTTAGCCGATCATTGATTGTTTAAGTGATTATTGGATGATTGAATGGATTGTTGATTGCGATTTTCTTTACTGTGGCTAAGTGGGACGGGATGACCGCTCTCACTAAGCAATTCTGTTGCTTATGCCTCCTTTTCATGGATGCAGGTGATTTAGCCCGTGATGGGAACTGTTCTGGACCGCGGGACTAAGGCAAGGAAGAAGGATGTTAGGCTTGGGTGGATTAAGGCCGAGTAGGACAATGTAATAGTTTATAGCAAACTGTAGTAGCTTATAGCGAACTCTCATTGTATGCTCGAACCTCATTTTTACCTAAGTAATGCATTTGTGTTTAAGATGGCTTGAATGAACTGAAAGAAAACGCTGAAAATGACTAAGTATGGGAAAAACTTAAAAATACCCGAGACTGGCCAGGAAGTGGCCGAGTCAAATCCTTACCGCAGTTCGGATTTCCGGGTTAGGGCGTTTCACCGCTGGGCAACTATGTTCGAAAATTAAATTTAAAAAAAAAAGGGAAGGGAAAGAGAAAGGAGCCACGACCAACTGTCGAGCTAGCCACCCGCATTCTCGTCGTCGTCCTCCCTCCTCGCCTCGTCGTTTCCTCCTTCCTCCACATTCGTACCAAACTGATTAAGGCCAGCGGGTGCACCTGAAACCGGGTCGACGTCCATAGCCACTGAGTCCTCGGAGTTCACGGGGAGATTCAGCCTGCTGATCGAGAAATCTGAGACATGGGCAGCCCTAAAGACCGCTCCCAAGTCCTCCTCTTCTTTGGTCACCCTGTCCAGCTCCTCCTCGACAGTGGTGGCCTTCGCGACAAGCTGCTCGAGCATCCCCTTGTTGGCAATACATTCCTGGAGATCGCACTCGGCCACACCCTCGACCTTCTTCCACTCCAATTCAGTTGAAGACCTCGACCACCTCCATGAGCCTCCGAGACATATCCTTCCGAACCTTGCGGTTCGCCTTGCGGACATCGCTCTCGCGCTCGCGGACCAAACGGAGATTCTCCTCCTTATAGATCGCGGCCTCCTGTTGAGCTCGCTCCGCTGCGGCTTAAGCCTCGAAGAACTGGTTGGTGGCAACCTTGAACTTCTCGCCCTTGTCAACCAACTCATTCTCGAGGTCGGTGATGTGAGCTTGCTGGCCCTTGAACTGCCTGAGGAAATTGGTCTGGCGAGCGACCTGCGCATTCGCGGCCTCTAGGTCGGACTTCAGTTTGCCGAATACCTCCTTCATTTCCTTGATCTCGTCCGGATGTGGAACGTCCCGCAGCCTTTGCTCAAGACGAGTAAATAGCCGGTTCCTAGCCTCTGCAGCCTGCGAGCATCGAGAACCAAAGCGTTAAGATAAACAACACTTAACCAATTTTACACAAGTCAAAGGGTATCCCCGTACCTTTCCCCTGGGCCGCCGCCATCTCCACGTAGAGCTCCCTCTCAGTCATTTTCTTGAGAGCTGGAAGTTGGCACCCAGCGGGCTTGAAATGACACCATATGGCCGCCATGCCCTCGGAGTCATCCGTGATCGGATGATACTTGGTGTGCTCAAATTTCAGGTGGAAAGGCCGACTGCTCGTCGAACCACCACTCCCGTTAGACGCCGACGGACGCGGCTCAGTAGCACGACTTCCCTCGTCGTCTCTTAGCCTCTTGGAGGTAGGCTGGGAAGCGTGCTCGGGCTCCTGGTCATCAGCGAGCTGCACAGTCTTGCCCGAGCTCACGAAAATCGCCCCCACTAATCTGGGGGAAGGATCAGGCTGAGGGTTCATCGTCTGCTCGACCTCCTCGTCATGGAGGTGATGTGCAGAAGCAGAAGCTGTGGCTAGCGCGGCCTCAAGGGCCTCCTTAACGCTCCCGGAGCGTACCCTGGAGCTGCTGGGACCAGTCGGGGCTTTTTCGGCTCTTTGACGGAAGGTGGGCTTGCGAGACATCGCTGAACTTGAACTTGCTGAACTAGAAGAAGGTAAAATAGAATGAAGAGGAAGAACTCCGGCTGCCAGCAAAACAAGTTAAAACATGTCATTCAGCGAGCAATAATCGTTACGCTAACCCACCAAACAATAAGGAACCGAGGGACCTACCGGGTGCGACAATCGGAGCCGGGCTGGTAGTGAGAGAACTCGTCGAACTCGTTCTCGCGTGAACGTGCTCCAGACAACCTTTCCTCGCCTGAAAAACTTTAGCCGGTGCTCGATATCGGGATCCTTGTGTGCTCTAGATAGCTGACCTGATAGACAAAAACAAGCAAAGGGTCAGAAAAATCACTCGAGCAAATCAAACCAAACATAGCTAACGAGCACTCGAGCCTAGCTAAACAATCGTTGCCCGCGAACTCGATTGGTAGCCGGGAGAAATCGAAGTCCCCGACGGACTCCACGTTAATCCAGAACTTAAACCCGGTTTTCTCCCAACCAGAGTCCTTCTCCGGACTCTCCTCAATGAACCGCCGGTTCGACCTCGGGGACGCGTAGAAAGTCCCGGGACGGCGGGCGTTGTACTTGACAGAGAAGAACGCTCTCAAGTCCGAGTAACGGAAGATGACGTTCTCCTCTTTGGCTTGTACGGCACATCCGATGATGGCCCAAACCAAGTTTGGACACATCTACGGGAAAGCCAGCCGCAAGTCCGTCAACACCTCGAGGACGAACCGAGGGATTGGGAAAAATAACCCGTAATCCCAGAAATACGTTGCATACGCGCAACAAAAACTCGGCTCCACGTGCACTGGAGTCTGCACCGGCGTCAGAACGGCCAATTCAACCCGGCGGGGATTTCGCATTCTCGACGGAAGTCGTCGAGAGCTTTCTGGTCGATCTTGGAAGTAACTACGGCGGTCCTCCCAGATTTTTCTCCCTTAATTTTCACTATAGCCGACATCGGAAAAAAAAGGTGGCAAACGCTAAACCCAGAAACTAAAAATTCGAAGCCTTTCTAGAGGAAAACTCGGCGAACGGTTTCTGAAAACTACGTAAAAGGGAAGTTGCAGAAAATAAAAGGAAAGAAAAAGAGGAGGTTACCTTTAATCGACGAACTGATGCAGTTAAAGAAGGAATGGAGAAGGTGAGCTTTATATTGAGATAATTATTATCAACCTCGAAGATCGCAGAAAATCTGGCCACGCGCCAATCTCAACCGTTCGATCCTCCCATCCTAACCGTCGAATATTCGACTTCGACGATTTGACGCGCTGTACAGCTCGATCGATAGAGGCCGTTAGATCGACTTCCTCTCTCCCCATCCGAACCGTCCATGTCATCAAGCTTCAGTGCTAATCTTCTCGAGGGATGCACCTTGCCCCGCGAAGCTCGAACGCCAAAACAGAAAAGTAAATAATAATATTTAGCTCGAATCTCGATCGTCCACCTGGACGTGATAATAACAGATTTATCTCAACACGCCAAGTTACAGTCTCGAGGTCGATTCTTGGCCGCATGATCGATAAACTGTTCACCTTTCCAAGATCTGAGCCGTCGATCTCAAATGATTATCTGACTCCGTGACGTCAGCACAATCAAACACCAAATCTTTCAAAAGTCCCATCTTGCCGCCCATTAAAGCTGGAGCTCGCTCTCGTTAATGGGCTGGGGGGCAATTGTTGGAGCTAGATTTGACACCCCAAATCCGGCCCACTCAAGCCCAACGGGCAGATCCAAACTATGCCAAAAAGGCTGGGCTTCAACCTTACGGCCCAGCCCCATTCACCTTTCAACAACCCGATCCTGAGCAACAATTCATTCCGTTCGACGAGGTCGAACTCCAGCTCGACCAAATCCCAAAAAACGAGGAAGAATCCGAGCCGAGTCAGAGCATATTCTCGCCAGTTCAAATGAGTCCGAAGATCGCAGAGGAAGTTGCTGCACGTGGCGAGATAACCGGCTGAGGCTGCTGCACGTGGCCGAGATACGCGTTGGAGCTCGAAGCTCGACGAGGCAAGCTATATAAAGAAGGAGAACGGTTTAGTTCAGGGGACCTTCGGCTTGATCTTTTTACACACTTTTTACATCCGAAAACACTGTAACTGCTCCCAGAGCTCTTTTCAGTTCATCTTTTTCATTGAGATATTTGTAATCGTTTCATTCGACCGATTAATACAAAATCTTTATTTCAGTTATTGCTATCTTATATTTTCAATATGTTCGAAGGAATCTAGCCCTTAATCCTCTAAAGTTATTTCCTTACAAATACACATAAATTTCCGAGTGTGGATTTCGATATCCACAGTCAACTAATAAAAAATAAGATGTAGAATTTTAAAAGTTAAAACAATTAATTTTTGCATTAATTTTAAAAAAATAAAGTTTTAGAATTTTTGGGTAGAAATTAATTTGCAAAAATAAAATTACAATAAGAAAAACCAGAATTCGCAAGCATACAGAAAGATTTGTGGTTGAAGATTTTGTTGGTTGGAATTGGGATATTTGTGGGTCCTTGTGGAAAATGTAATAAAAATAAGAACGAATTTATAACATCGCAAGAAACAACGCTGGATTAGTTGTTCAAGAATCAAATTTGTGCGTTTGTTATCGATTTTATAAGAATTTCATGATTATCAAATTGTTCTGCTAAGGGTACAATTATGGTTGTAGATTTATTCAAGACGCAAACAAACAAACGATTAGTAATTGAATACAAGTTTTCTATTCTCACCGCATATTATTGTCGCAGCTTCTAAAGCAAAGTAGGTAAGAATGAGATCTGCACCAGCTCGACGTAGGCAGATCAATGATTCCATCATAACTTTTTCCTCATCGATCATCTTCATAAGTCCCGCAGCTTTTATCATGGAGTACTCACCGGAAACCTGGCAAGCTCCAATGGGCAATAGAGTTTGGTTCTTCAATAAACGTATGATATCAAGAGAAGGAAGTGCTGGTTTCACCATTAGGATATCGGCTCCTTCAGCTTCGTCTTCACGTGCTTCGATCAATGCCTCTCTTGAGTTTGCTGGATTTATCTGATAACTTTAACAACAACAATTTGATTAGAAGGGCTAGCTAAGAAACCTTATGTATACATATGCACATAATTATTCATGTATTTAGCTTATAATAGTACAAACGCAAATCTCGTACTAAACCCACGAAAAAGTTCATAGAAATCCAAATTTTCTTGTCACTAAAACGTATATCAGTGGTTATCTGTGATTAAATTAAAATCGTAGCAGAAGAATTCGAACCCTAATCTAAATTCACATGGCAAAATCCTAACAACCACTAAACCGCGATAAGCTGGTTACAATTATACTAGTTTTCTTATTATTTTAAAAGAAATCTTATTTATTTTTGTATGAAATATATATCTACAAAGTGTAAGCGAAATACTATAAATACAAGCAAAGTTTCTTCTGCGTTTTTAGTTGAGAAAAAGTAAATAAATGAAGGTTATGGTATCATTTGAAAAAGTACTAATGCGTTATTATACTATATAACATGTAAATGCAAAAGTATACAAACAAATAAAGACTAGAGTGGTTGTAGTACGTTTTCTTGTCCAATTCCACCTTGCGAAAACGGCCGTATAATGAACTTGTATACCTGTTGATATAGTGATTACAATTAATTAGGTTGGAATTAAAGAAAATAAAGCAAGATGAGATGTTAAGTAGTCTTTTACTTGACAGAGTAAGACATGATGGAAACATGGTGAAAGCCCTCAGCATCTAGAGCTGCACGAACCGCGCCTACACGCCCATCTAACATTTCACTGGTACAAACAACATCTGTTCCAGCTCGAGCCTGTATCCATTATTATTAGATTAAGTGTTTTTGATTATTTTGGTTCAAAAGGGTTTTACTTTTACCTGAGAAACTGCTTGTTTGCGTAATTGGTGAATTGTTTCATCATTCAGTATTACGCCTATAAAACATAGATTGATGTTTCCGAAATCACTCAAAAGTCTTATTTTCTTTTAAAAAATGATGTGCAAAATATTTTTCTAACCATCTTCTCTTACGATTCCACCATGCCCACTTAACGAGTACTCATCAAAATTGACATCAGCGTAGATAACCTTTAGAAAGAAAAGAGACATTATCATTTTCAGGACAACTTCCTCTAGCTAGTGAGCAAAGAGTATATATATGTATCTTACGAGATCAAGGAATCTGTCTTTGAGAAGACGAACTGTTCGTTGCACTAGACCGTTGTCGTTGAACGCCTCTTCCCCTGTTGGAGACTAAACAAAGGGAAAGGCTATTATTGATGTATGTGGACTTCATGAGGGTTCATATTAATAAAGAAGAAAATTGTGAAACCTTTAACGCAACAGGAACTTTAGGGTACAACATTATGCTATTCACACCAACATCTCGTGCCTTTGCAACCTATATTCCTCCCAAAACACACACAAGAGTGATTCACAGATAAAATGAGAAGAAATCAATTATGTAGCTCTCAAAGTATGTGAAAAGACACAACACTCACTTCTTCGATGAGGCCGTGTCTCCAGCCAAGCATGTAACACCCGGGCATCGTTTTTATGGGAATGTCTACCTCACCTGCGAGCACGGGCGGATCCAGCTGCTTGTTAGAGGGTGTGGCAAGTGCCCCATATAGGATTTATAAAAATTAATTTGTGGCACCAATATTATTGCTTAATTATGTAATATAAATGTGTAATTTGGTAATATTAATAAATAATACGAATTTTTTATCCATAGATTTTGTTTGTTTTCTACATCTACCACTGCCTGCGAGACTCCACTGTATTTACTCACGTACAAAAAAGAGACATGTTAATGCGCAAAAACTATTAGTTTTTTTTTTTTAACCGGGAACTAACCTTGATGAATGAAGAGTGGATATATGAAATTTTCAGGAGAGACATTACTTTCTTGAAAGGCAGCCCTATGAGTAGGGGACTTGCGATTACGACGTGGACGTTAGTTTAGCTGCTGAAACCACTTAGCTCACATGAGGTTGTGAAGGACAAAAGAAGTATGAAAGCTTAAAAGAAAAAAAATGTCACTTTTATTTTTTGTTTTTGGCTAGCTAAGAAAATATGGCCCGAGGTCCATAGTCTCCTTAAACCAGAAATCATAACATGTTAAACTGGATATTTCGGTCCTCTCTCTGTCACCATTAATGCTAGCTTGTACTAGGATCTTAATGAGTACACTTGTATAGTTGCATTTAGATGGTCAAGTAGTACATCCGTTGACCTACAACGTTGGTTAAGAAAATTATGTCCACTTACAAGAGGCTGATCAATCAATGGCTTAGCTAATTTACTCGGCATTGGAGGCATGGCTGGTTTAGTTGTAATTGTAGGCGCTGCTGGTTTACTCGGCACTAGAAGTGCCTCATGAGCATGTACCGGCCATATCATGGCGGAGTCGAATCTTTGTAGTTGACAAGCAACTTCTATGCTTCGGAAAGGATTGATTCTCACATTATACGTCGCTGCTTTAAGGCCGACGTAGCTCTTCTGCTCAAGCCCTTTCATCGACGGAATCTTGCAAGGAGATCTAAACATGGATGACGTCATTTATGTATGCTGAAAAATGGGAAGAAAGAAAACTCGTAAATGAAACCAAGATGTAAAACTCAGAGAGGGAGACTTTTTATTTATAGTATTTTTTCACGTTGAGAGAGAAATTTTGGAACGTAAAATTATTCATTTATTTTTGGGTCACAAATCTCGATTACATTAACGTGCAGCTAGTGTACATGTAACATGACAAAGTAAAATTATCATATTTAAATTTTATTGTGAATGATCTTATAAGCAGATCTTATCGTAGATGATCTACGATATCTCGGTGTCGACAAATCTCGTGGTTGACAAAATTCATGTGATATGATATTGAAATAAATAGAGTAAAGTACCTACCGATTAGCACGTTAACTCTTTTCTTTTTGGTGTTAGTTTAGACGTTTTAGATGAAGGAAATCCGATTTTTTCAATAAATTTCAAGATTAGTCGTTTTATTCCAGTATATATCTACATTAGAAAAACATCTGAAGTATACAAAGTTAAGAAGAAGTGATCATGGATCCCTATTTTGTTTTGTACGAAGACTGCATGTGAGAGTACACAGATACACACGTACTATAATGCTTTGTTTTTTTTTTTTTTTTTTTTTTTTTTTTTTTTTTTTTTTTATCGTTTCTTAATCAGTATTTTATTCATTTTCTTCTTGATAGTATATTATTTATATTATTTTAACATAATATTGTTTTATTCTTATAAATTATCTTATATATATATAATATGCATTCATGTTAGAGTTAGTGTGTTCGGCATATAACTTGCATATTTTTTATATTTGGAGTGTTCTATTGGGTACTATAAAGTTTGTGCAGATTTGCTGGAGTTTGAAGGATGAGCTAGAATCAAGGAGAGCTGAGAAAGAAGCAACCAGAAATTGTCCAACACCATATCGATATGTGGTTTTGCAACAAATCGATACCAAAGAGACAGGGAAGGGCATATCAAGGTGATTGTATCCATGTCACTGATAGGGTCAGGTTTTACCCAAATAAAACTACTACAAGTACACAGCAAAAGCAGTTGTAGTACAAGGGGTTATCGAATCCCAAGGGAGTATGTAAACCACACTAGCGATTATAGATTCAGATTAAGCTAAGCGATAAATAATGAATGTAATGCAAAACAGTAAAATAAATGCAAGAGGGCGTTTTTATGCTTGTTCTTAAAGTTCAGAAGGCTAAAGGCGCTAAGTCAGGACAGTTCGCAGGTTGAATCCGAGAGTGTAGAATGCATGCAATCAGGAATGAATTAAAACCGTCTTGAACATGAATCGCAAAGATATAACTAATCAATTCTCATTGCAGAAGTTATCTATGTCTAAGTCACAGAGTTTCAAATCTATTTGCAAACCCTAACAACCTAAACATGCAATAATGATCAGGTTCAATTGTTCACAAAACTCCTAAGCCAAATCTCTTTGTACTAGGGCGTTTTGCTCATCTAATACTAGGTCAGGTGATTAATAATGCTCTCACATCTATCAAAAACCTAGGGTTTCGAAATCCAGATGATGTGTCTAAGAAATCGATATGAATGCAAGCACAAATGAAGAACCAATGAATTTCCTATAAGTTTTTAGCAATTCTACAAACTCTTCTTCAACCTTTGAAAAGCCCTAACTTAACTGATAAACTACTCAGACATGGTGATTTGAGAAAACATCATGAAAAGAATAGATTGCATAAAAGAAATAAGAAGTAGAAATAAAGGAGTTCAAAATCTGCTCTAAAGGAGTCTGATTTGTCTCTCCAAAAGCTCTGCTACAAATCTCTCTCTAAAGCTCTCAAAAATAATAAGATACAAGATATCTGCCAAAAGAATGGCTGAAAAACCTAATATACAAGCTAAAACACGATCTGGGGCCTTTTTGCAAAAACTGGAACTTCTGGGCCAAAACTGCAATTTCTTCCTAATCTTTTAAAAACAGGCCACGACCCCTTCCTCGATGGGTGGCGAGCGTCACCAAAAGTGGTGACGAGCGTCACCCATATGCATACTTTCCTTCCCGAGTTGGATACTTCGTGGCTTCAACTTGCAATGCTCCAAAAAGCTCCAATATCTCCAGTTATGCTCCAGACATGCTATAACCTGCAAAGACTCTTCTAGGACTCTAAAAAGACCAAAAAGACTCAATAAAAAGAACTTATATCATGGTTAAAAACCATAAAAACCATGATATATCAACTCCCCCAGACTTAGCTTTTGCTTGCCCTCAAGCAAACATCAGACAAAGAATAAGGTCGAGGTTTGAAAACAAGAAACAGTCAATCAGTCATCAGAAACACCATACTAGTTAGAGCTTTCGAATCCACATACCACATAGTCAACACAAGATCAAATTTCAGTCTAATCATCACAAGCTTAGCAAATCTCTCAAGTCCAGTTCAAATCCCTTCAAGAAATCCAAAATTTCTACTGTCAACTCCTTATTTTTTTTTATTTAAGTGTGATATCTCATCAAGGCTCTATCATCTCAATCACTTTACAGATTCTTTTCCCTTCCTAACAACTAAACAAATAGATCTCAACACAACTCTCCTATTTTCTCTTCCCTTAATCTTTTCCTTAGGATATTTTCGATTTTTCACTTCTTTTTCTCAACTTTTACAGTCTAAGATATGGTGCTACTCAATACTTGTGTTCCTTGTGAGGAGACAGGTTCTTGAATGTGTTCACTACTGTTGTTCCTTGTGAGGAGACAGGGTCATGAATGCACCATTCTTTGGACTTAATCTTTTAAAAACTACATCAGGGAAGATCAAAGAGAGACTGCATTTTAACCTTATTTTCAGTGCTGGAAGAGAGAATCAAGATCAAATAGAATCAATCACCAAGATAAAGTTTAAAGTTCATTAAGGTGGAGCTTACAGAAAATTTTTCAGACTCTCTAAGAACCTAAACCTTCATTGCTAGACTGATCTACCTATGACTTTCAACTTAGTTAGACTTGTAATCAACTACTGTGGCAATGGTTCTTATCAGCAAAAACGTCCTATGGTTAGTTCCAAGAAAAACTGACAGTTTCAAAAATTTTGACTCTATAAAACAGGTTTTTGACTAAACTTTAAGACTCTATAGACATGACACAAAGCACACAACGTCAGTAACCACCTCCCCCAGACTTAAACAACACTGTCCCCAATGTTATTAAGCGAAGAGTTGGTCAAAATGAAGCATGAGAACATGTAAAACCAAGGTGGAAAAGTGGTACCTCGCGAAGGAGCTAGTGACGAGCGTCACCAGATTGGTGACGAGCGTCACCATCTCTGATCCTCCAGAAATCGACATGTTGGATGTTTAAATGCTATGCCATCATGTGTACTCCGAAGTCAAACTGTAAGAGCACTCAAAACACACATCAAAACATTCAAACAAAGCATAATCCATGGTCCAACAAGTTCACAAGATATCATCCAAGCAAACTGAACAAAGTGACTCTTTTTTTTTTTGATTTTTCTCATGTTTTTGGGTTTTTTTTTAGCTATGTAATAGAAAACTAAACTAATATATGAAATATAAAACTTACCAGTGGGTTGCCTCCCACTAAGCGCTTGTTTAAAGTCATTAGCTCGACTTTGATTGCTGTTCAGACAGCTGGTGGAACAGAAGGTGGCATTGAATGCCTTGGAGGAGAATGTCTCCTCATCCATGGTGGTTTATAAGCAGTAGATGTATGAACACTTCCAAGGAAGTGAGGAACATCAGCAGAGTGGGTCGTGACTATGGGTGGGATACTTCTTTTTCCTGCAGAATCATCAAAAGAAACACCAAGCATTCTACGAGAATCTCGTTGCTTGCATAAGTTTGAAGCAGCTTTTTCACTTTTTAAATTCTTATTGATGAGATTAGGAGGTTTGGATTTGGTTCCAGGAAGTGCATACCTTTGCCTAGTTGCAGGTTTCTGGGTTGTGGACTGTTGAGTTTTCGGATTGGCAACATATGATGGACTTGTAGAGAAAATATCACGTCTCTCCTTTGTGTCCAGGTTGGTGACGAGCGTCACCAGGTCAGTGACGCTCGTCACTGACTCTGCAGTTCGAGTTTCTGCAGTTTTCCTGCAATTCAGCTCTGCAAGTGTTGCTTCCATCACATACACGTCTTCCTCCAGCAACTTGGCATTCATTAGAACCTCTTTTTCAAGCCCAGTCATGAAGATATGATCCTCACTGCAATCCTCAAACCCAACAGCTTCTGCAGAAGTTTCAGATATTGGCTCTTCAACAGCCATCTTGCTCACTTGCCCACTTATATCTGATTCATTGACACACTCAGCAATAATGCCTTCTGAATGCTCCATGACAGTCTCTTCATCTCTGGAAGTTCTTACAGAAAAGGTGTGACCATCAATGGTAGAACTCTTTCTTAACTTATCCATGTCAAAGTTCATGACAACATCACCAAGATCAAGCTCAATGTTCCCCCTTCTAACATCAATGATGGCTCCAGCAGTAGCTAAGAATGGTCTTCCCAGAATAAGAGGATCTTTAGGTTCTTCAGCATATTTCAGAACCACAAAATCTGTAGGAATTATGCAGCCTTCAATGTTAACATGAACATTCTCTAACATGCCTTCTGGGGTTCTTATGGATCGATCTGCTAGGATGAGAGAGATCCCAGCTGGCTTGAAATCAGTCATTCCAAGTCTAGCAGCAACAGAGAAAGGCATCAAGTTAATACTTGACCTTAGATCACATAGAGAGTGTGGAAAACATCCTGCAGATATTGAGCAATCAAGCACAAAGGTCCCTGGATCAGATAGCTTCTCTGGAACTCTGCTTTGAGTGATGGTATTGACTTGTTCAGAAACAGTCACCTTCTTCTTCTTCTTTGGAACTGTGCCTAAGAGAATTGCACTGATGTCTCTGGTAAGCAATGCTCCTTCCTCAGGACTTACACCATTGACCACCATCCTCTTTACATACCTTCTTAGAGTTGGTGAAAGCTTGACTGCATCAACAAGTGGGATCTCAAGCATCAGCTTGTCTATCATAGCTTTGCATCTCGCTTCTTCTATCTCCTGTTTAGACTTCCTAGGATGCTTGGGGAATGGTGTTTTGGGTTTATAGACACGTTCCTGGTCATAATTTGCAGTTACAGGCGAAGCAG